CAGCCGCGGGCTCCGCACATGTCCGGACGGGTCCCGTTCCCGCCCGGATCACCGGAGACCCCCGATACAGAGCCCGTGCTGGGATATGGAGCTCAAGGCCTGTGTGGGTTACAGGGGAGGCCAGGGATGACTCCCAGTGCGCGGTCTTCCCGGGATGACACCCGGAATCCGGGTGGGATGGCAGAGCCTGGCACCGGTGCCTGCTGACCGGGGCAGTGCACAAGGAGCGCGGCGGCTCCCCGAGCTCGCTGCAGGAGCTCGATTAAAAAAGAAAAGAATCAATAGTTGCTGGAAAAGCACCGGCTGAGCAATTCCATTAGGGATTAACCCAGCGCTTGCATGCAGGCTGTTATGCAAGGAGTGAAACGTTCAGCGTGAAATTTCTGGGTGGAAAGCGAGTCTCCTGCAAGGACCTTCTGTTCCTTCGGGCAGCAAAGCAGGCTGGGCATGCGCAGCTCTAGGAGCTGCAGGAATGGAGGGAAAATCCTTTTTGTTTTTTTGTTTGCGAGGGGAGTGTTTCCACATTCACATTATTTTCACTGTGTTTGAGCATCCTGATTTTCCCATGATCGCAAAAGGTGCCGCTGGGAAGGGGAACTAAACCCAGCGCAGTGGGACGGCCGCCAAAGAAGCTCCCTGGGACTCAGTGAACAGCCAGGCCCATCCATGGGCATCGCAACCCTGCAGGACGCCCCAATCCTGCGGGAAATTGCCCCAAGCTGCTCCTCGTGGAGCTGATAAGAGCCCTCAGGAGTGGCTTAGGGTTAATGGGGACCTGCTGGAGTCCCTGCTTGGGGTCCCTGTGAGTGGCAAGGGGGTAAGTGGAGGGCGAGCAATGCCTTTACAGCCACTGGAGCGGGGTCCTTGGGCTCTCTAGCATTTTGCGGGATGTTTTCCCGGGAAGCGGTATTCCCTGGGCTCTGGGATCACGTGGAGCTGTGGGGTTTTGCTCCAGCCCACAGGGCAGGAGCCACGAGTGATTTTCCTGCAGGCGCCGAGCGCACGGGGAGCTCCCTGCCCGCTCCAGTCCTGTGCTGGGTTACGGCAGGCAGGAGGCTACGGAAAAACAACCCGGCCTCACAATATCACGTAGCTCTTGTTCCTCTAAATAGCTGGTTATTTTTTTTCCATCGCCCCACAGTATCGCCTCTCTCCTTGTTTCTCTTTGTGCCATATGCAGTTAATTATTCATGCCCGTTTTGTGCTGCTCCACGGGCTGTGCAACGAGGCGCTTTTGTCCTGAAATTCGGCTTTCAACCCGCGCCGCACCAGTCCCCCCCATGGAGCCAGAGCAATTCTGGCCCCAAACCTGCAGCCTGAACAGCCTCTCTGGGGACCCAGAGAGCTGCAAGCGCCACGTGCAGCACCTGGGACCCAGATGGAGGGTCCCTGTCCCCATGGGGCTGCTAGGAAGCTACAAGGGAGGAAAAACAAAGCGAAAACGGAAAGAAAAAGTATCTCGTGGATCTTCTTTCCATTAGTGCAGAGGGCAACAGGAGTGCCCAGGTTGGATTTCCCTCCGTGGCGGCTCAGGGGAGTGGGGGGAAGAGCTGGTCCGAGGCCACGGGAAGCAACACTCATGCCCAGGAATGGGAAAGGGAGCGAATGCCAAGTGCTGGGGCTGGCGAGGCCCTCCTGCACCTGGGAGACATGCGGCGTCTGGTAGCTAAAACAGAGGGCCGGGATCTGGATATCGTATCCCTTAATTGAGCTTGTTTAATGCTTAATGGCACGAGGCGCCGGGATAGTTTCCAGGCCTCGAAAGTTCCTTAATGCATCTGCTGGCTGCGAC